TTCTATGTTTTCATGTTTCATTCTTGAGTTTTACAGTTGCATATTATCAATCACCCAAAGCCTAATTACAAGTAGTAATGTTAAAAAAACAAACAAAAAAAACCCTTAAAAAATACACTATAAACCCTGATAGAGAAGTTGTCTTTTAGTGTATTCGGGACAGGTTCAGACAGAACAACTTTCCTGGAGCTGGTAGAGAATTCAAGGACATTTCAGCAGGGTGGATGCTGACTGACTGGGGTTTTCAAAGGCTGTCCCGTCTCCTGTCTCCTTTGGAGATTCAGAATAATTAAGAATAAAAAAGCTTTTCCACATTGTTACTGTCTAATTTTATTTCCAGGTAGTGTGATTAAGCCAGCTCTCACTTTGGCTATGGTATGCTTGGCATGAAGCATCAGTCTGGCACTCAGCCTGACATTCGTAGATACAAAGAACAGTGACAGACTGTAGACCGTGGCAGAGGCTGAGGCTTTATACCTCATTATGGCTGACCATGTGTGACCTTGATGTGTCCTCTGGTGCCCTTTGCTCCTTTTATTTTTTTACAAACATGCTGCCTGTTAGATTATACTACTGTGATTTCTGTATGATCAATCTGTACTTTTAGCTGGAGTCTCTCAGTCCACCTGTCACTGATTCAGCTGGTCTGCAGTGTGAATCATGAATCCAGATACAATGTTATAGATTGCTTGGCGAAATGGCCAAAAAAATTATCACAATAAAAAGATTTCACTCGATATCAATAATTATCACGATAAATGTCAAATCATTATTTCTTTCAAATTTAAAGGCTGATTTTTGCTCCTGAGTTAAAGTTGAAGAAACCAGATGGTTAATTGGGGTTTTAAATTATTCTTTATAGTCAGACAGACGCTTGCCAAACAGTCGGTCTCTTACCAAATCTAAAGTGGAATATTTATGATAAAAATAAAATATCTTTTCAACAAATATGCATGAGTAAAATAAGTAAAAAAAAATTCCAGCCCCTTTTCCTCAACAAAATCAATATCTTAACAGAAAAATTAAGTGCTTATTTTGTGATATGCAATATAATGTTCAATAATTTTGTCTGTCATCCTAACATCTGTGTTAATGAAGAGGAAAACATATGGCAAAATAATTTTTCAAAAATTCAGGAGTCAGCTCTTCTTATACTACCTCATATACTAATAGTGCTGTAAGTTTTACACAGTTTTATAGACAACAGAGATGGAACGTGGAATGTACAAAGGGTGCAAACAAATATAATGTGTAACCATTCTATATCTTTTTTAATGCTTTATTTATGTTGGAGTCAAATGTTTTTTTCAAACTTTTTTCCTAACAAAACAGAATAAGGAAAA